CGTTACTTATTATAAACTATTATACACATTATACACATTTACATATTCAATATAGATCATAAAATTTAGTATATAATGTATACGTAAAATAGTTTCGAAGAAGTTTTCATGATTGTTTCGATTGTTTAAAATGTGGCAATCTCTAATATTTAGAAGGAATGCCACGAGGTATCAAAATTATAAGATTGATTACCTCTATATGATGAAATGTCATCTTGGAAGATAAAGTTCTTAATAATAGAGACGTATTCTGTCATTGGAGGAGATCGACTTTAATCAGATTTTGCCTCAAGTTGCCGCGAAGGTGATGAAGATCGAGCGCTTTCCGATTTTGTAAAAGTATTATGAATATGGATAAACTAAATTGCTAGGTTGCATGAAAGAAAAATGTGGTAAGTTTGTGGGACAAGTAGCGCTTATCTTCTTCTCGGATAGCTCTTTCTGTTATCACATAGAAAATAAGCGATTTAAATGCAGCAGTTTTTCGAGTTATAGATTGAAATATTAAATATTAATCAGTTTATTATAATAACAATAACGACAATATTAGTAATAGTAATTATAATTTTTTAATTAAAAGTTTATATAATGCAATAAATTAGAAAAATTGATGTTCTTATATACTATGTAAACTACATGTAGAATATCCAATTCGAACTATATTACCATAATAACTGCAAATAATTGATTGGAAATGAGTATGTTAGAAAGTTCACTCTATTCAATGAAATAGTAGTGAGCACTTAAATTCTTCATGAAAACGAACTTGTTACCTCGTGCTTTTAAGCAAAAGTATGAAATTGACTGGGTCGGGAAAGTTCATAAAAGTTTGCAACTATTTTTTGGAATACGTCGTGAGCAAAAAGCGATCCTCGCTTTACGTCACATACATTCTCGAACAGTTTTCTAGTTTAGCATAACGCCGACGTGATAAGTTTCACAAGATCGACTAGCTTAATAGACGCGTCAAAGAAAGCAAGAGTAAGTACGAAAAAAGTAAAACTCGCATATTTTGCAATGCTGCAATGTAGTGAATATAAGAAGTTTTATAACTTCTTGGTAACGATCTCGATAAATAAAAAACGGACACTAATACATTGTTAGGTTCAGGTAAAGTTTCTAGCGAACATAAGTTAGAAATGTATGGTAAAGTAATAACGCAAGTTCCGATATTATGGAATTATTGTTGATTGCAGTAATATCGCGATTCGAAGAGTAATTCAAACTTCGCGTCTGATAAAATATTAATGCAATAAATATTTCCTGCCGATGTAATCTTCATTTTTTTAATGATTTAAAATATTTTATATGAATATTAAATTATATGAACATTATATTATTATTATTCAGTACAGTTCAGACTTTGGACTGATTAATACGGTTTTTCGACGATAAACAAATTTACTAATTTTAAAAAATAGAGAGAAAATAGTACATCTGCATATATATTTCCCATTTTTATAATATTTTTACATCTTTTCAAATGTATTACTTTTAATTTGCGTCTAAAATAAAATTTGCGACTTTGACAATATTTGGTATTATTTGTTTTCGTATGCAAATGCAATTCAAATGCGCCTTAAAGATCAGTTTCTCTCAGTTTCTAGTAATTGGTAACGATGATATAAATCGCGATGTCGTGGAATTGTTTCGCAAACCTATGCCCAGCCGTAGACATGGATAGAAATCCCACGGAAAGAATTATGGACTGAAATTAAATCCGCTGCCGTTTCCCTAGACTTATATTTCGCCTGATCCTTTTACGTCTCTTCTGAAATCCCTGCGAAATCTCTTTCAAACTCCGCCGCGGCCGTCGTGGATCTTCAGAGGCATGAATCGGCGACAGGCGAGTTTTCGCGAAAAATCACTCTTTGCCACAGGTACCTGAGTCGCACGAAAGAAAGAATCGTATACAATCGTAACATCGTTTCTTATAAGGATGTACGATGTTTTCGATTATATAATATGTCCCTGATTTTGCATGTACACTGAAAAAAAGGCTAGGTAACCTAAGGCTTGGTGAAATAGCTTCAACTAAAGAGTTTAGTGATTATGACGAAATATTTGGTTAATGTTAACAAATTTGATTAATGTTAACAAATTTGGTTAACATTAACCAAATATTTCGTCATAATCACTAAACCCTTTAGTTGAAGCTATTTCACCAAGTCTCGGTTATTATAACCAAGCCTTTTTTTCAGTGTAACGTATCAAGAATTGACAAACTATAGGAGAAAATTTTATCGTAAAAATATTCGACGTATGATTGCAGCGCATATGCAAAGTGTCTTTAGAACACGCGTCTTTCTTCGATGAGCGTGAATCATTTAATACACTATCAATCACGTCACGTATCCTACTCCACGCGAGTTAAAGATCATTATCGTCTATATATTGTCATATCAAATTGTTGTTTCGATCCTTTCTTAATGTAATCTTTATATGTTTGCATGTAAATGCACATATTATCGAAAGCTCGACCTCTACTATATACGTATCGAATCGTATCTATTACGGCGAGAAACTCAACATAAAATGAGATCGTGACAATGTGGACGATATAAACAGGTTAATCTTCTAACTCGCATACCAGGATCGATTATTGGTACTGAAGGAGCTTTAGATGAACTATTATTACAAAGTTACTGCATACAGAGCCTCGTGAGATTCAAGTATCTTATTCGATGATCAACAAGTTCAAGTTCGTCCTCGAGTTGCGCTATAATGAACATCTGCCTACAGTTATCATTATTAGACGGCTCTGGGTCTATATCAATATCGAGGAGAGAAGAGAGGTTTAAATGATTTAAGAGATTTTTAATTGCATTACAATCCCGCGTACACACCGTATTATAAAAAAGTACATGTTTTTAAGCCAAATCATAAATTTATAATAGTGAAATAAATTTATAACAGTAAAATATATTTTCCCTCTCTTTTTAAGTTTGATATTGCTAACAATGATCGTTAAATTTTATTTTATTATCCGGTTGTAAGGAATTACGAACTATGACGCTATCGAAATTTCATTTTGATTTACCTTTAGTCGGCGACAAATATCGGAATAACAGAGAGTTAGTAAAAGTTTAATAGCAATATGGCTCTTTCGCGGTTGGACGTGTTATAGTAACACCCTTTAAACCTCAACCTAATAGAGCGCTGAGAGATAAAACGGGCCAAGAAACTCGAATGGCTTATAAGGAAAGTAGCGTTGGATGAGGTGATTTCACGGTACGAAGATTTTAAACCGCAGGTTCTGTAAACTTTCGACAAGAATGAAGTTTTCACGGTTTACTGCCATCTAACCTGGCATTTTCATCCTTCAATCACTAGAAGTACGACAATATTTAAATCTTAGTAATGAGCATTATAAAAAGAATTGTAAAAAACACATTTATTATACAATAAAAAAGATAAAGTAAATATAAGAAGCGAATAAGAGCCAACGTCGGTGAAGTAAAATTATATAATACAGTAGGTAAAGGTAAATATCTTAAAACTACGATTACAAATTTCTTAGTTAAGACCCTTTTTAGTGTGTGTACAAAATTATGAAATACAGTTATAAAATATTCTAAAAGTAGAAGGTCATCTTTGCGCTGTTGGTCAAATCAAATATCTATATATCGGCGTCAAATTGTAAAAGTGTCTGCTGCTTTATAAAAAAGAAGTCAAAATAAGAAACTAACAAGTTTAATAAATAAAAGTCCTTGTTGAAAATATGACATTTGCTAACAGTCTAATATAAAATATTCATTGGTATCTACATTATTCGATACAGTCTACATGTCAAATTAAGAACAGCTTACAGATTAAACCCGTCTTATCTAATAAACGAAATATATGTACATTAAGCAGCGTAATTTTTTTAGGCGATTAAAATAGCAAAGAACATCGTGATAAAAAATTTTAGATGTGAAATAAATTCACTTACTGAATTGCCTATTCCCGTCTTACAATACGAATGGTGTAACTGTAAAGAATGTGGATTTATGTCGAATATTTATTCTGTGACAGCGAATAGTGTTTGTATAGATGATGCTATGATATTTTAAAAGAAAAAAATGCACGGCAAAACTATTCTTCTATCGTTTAAATATAGCTGAAATAATATTTAAACGAACAAGCAGCAGCACCATGGATATCTAAACAACTTGACTATTTAAACTTTAAATAGTCAAGTTGTTTAGATATCCATGTTGCTGTTTGTTCGTTTAAATATTATTTCGGGTTTATTTAAACGATAGAAGAATAGTTTTATCGTGCATGGCACAGCTAGAATCGTAATACTTATGTGAAATTATTGGGACGACGGGTAACCGACATGACACAACAGAATAGTCGGTTCCTCGAGACCCCTTTCTATATATCTGTGCGTTAGATATAAGGGATCTGCAATTTAATATCGATTCCAAATCGGCTTTCTATAGCTAGAGAGAAAGTACACCCTCGTGGCAACATACTCTCGGGGGGTTGCCACGCCATTTCCGAGAGGTGGCGATTGTATAAAAACCGACGATTTTTGGTGGTCGGATTTGAACTCGGATCTTCGGCTCATTAGAGTAGCGCACATATCTCTGCGCCACAATCGCTACACATTTATTGTATGTATGTACATTATATATTTGTCTGTCTGTTTACTATTTCATTTTACTAATTTTCTAAAACAGGATTATATTTTTCTTAGTTCATATAAATTTACAGTATTTTATAATCATATATTTTTCTTCATTTATGTCATAAATCATCTATTACGTATTTACAAATTTTTATGCAAATAAATTATTAACTTCCGTTTATCATTATTTTTTCACTTTATTCGATGAGGGGAAAATACACGTGACAAACATCACGTAATAAAAACATTTATAAAAGAATTCTGCTTTCAGGGAACAATTATTCGAGAAATAATAATTTTCGCAAAATATTTTATATAAATATTTCTCTATTGTCAAGATATATTGTACTAGGAGAATGAATTTAACCTAAGGTTTACTTACTTGCGGAATTTTAAACAATCGTAGGAGATTGGCAACTTGAATCGAAGTTACTGAACTCGCTGCACCAACGACTCCGCTGATTACTTTACGCACGGCAGTTTTGTTGCAGTGATATTCCGCACCATCTATGTTGCTTATCGAACCTGGAATGCATAATAACGTGACACAATTCTGTTTGCAATTTATTTAAAAGTAATATTTTAAATTAACAAATTAATTAGCTTAATGATGCTTTTATCAATGGTGCTTTTATCTCTATGTCGATGAAATTTTGTTGTTGATAAACGCAGGTGTTAATATAATAATGATGTTGTTCTGTTCGAACCATTAATATTTTCATCATTGCACTGAATATACTGGTCAATTAATCAGTATACGGTAATTTGTTTTGTGTTGTGCGAATAGGGAGAAGTTTAATCAATAAAAAGCGTGATATACGCGAACAATATGAATATCCGGTCAATACTCACAGATAGAATTCGCACATGTAAAATGACGTAAATAATTTAAATATTTCGTTCATTTATCCATTAATATTAATATCAAACCTATAGTTCTTTATTTATTAAATGTTATTTTACATAAATAATTTAATATACAATGAACGCGTTATTGATATACGTACATTTGTCTGATTGTGCTGTCGTACCGGATATAAAATTAAAATTTTACCTGTAGTGCATTTAATCATTTTGTTAGCTAATATCACACGGCCGTACACTATAGAACAAAGCCGAATTTAATGAAATTCTTGTAACACGGCTTACAGCAAATCCGTTGTATTTTCACCTTTGTTTTTCTTATTGTTTGGACTTTACTCCACGCAATTTCGCAGCATAACACCTGTTGAATCTGCCGTTCTTATATTGTTTATCATTGATCTACAGTTATAAACATAAATCAAGTTAACATTTGCTGTATTATAATAACTCTAAAGATAATGTTAATCTTTTAAAACAATAGGCGCATCAATCATTATATTCTTAAAATTTAAAATTTGTGGCACCATTTATCATAGATAATTTTACAAATTATCTTATTCTGATTATTATCTATATGCGACACGAAACGTATATCGGGAGAAATGTATGTGTGCCAATCTATGTCAAATTAAAATCTTTTATGTAGTTACGTTAAGCATAACGTTTATACAATGCGAAGTGTCACTTGTAGTTGAATGTTGAAGACCGTGAAGAATTTCAGACACGCAATTGTCGCCTGCATAATAAATTAACTTTCCGCCTCTACAATCTTACACTTGAAGAACGTCATTCTTCAGCTTCTCGTTTGCGCACCTGGTTTGGGAGTGTTTACCGATGAAACTCACTCTTATTTCTATACATAGTTAGTGTAAACGTTTGCTAAAAGCTTAAGTGTCGCGAATATCGAGAGGGTGAGAGGCAATTCTTTCTTATAGGGGTTTCGCATTTTTCTTTTATTTTGAGGTTTCATTTTTCTTCTTTTATTCTTTTTCCTCGCTAAACTGTGACGGCGGAAGAAATGGCGATAGAAACGCTTTTCACGTGTAAAACACCAACAAATCAATAGAAACAAATTTACTTTTTGTTAGAAGACATTACATTCGGCTTATAAAATTTATGAATATTAAGAAAGGGTGAATAAAAACAAATTAGTAAAAGAATATAAAAATAGCATACACATACACGCATGTACACAAACAACACACGTACACACACCACACACAAAAGAGGAAGCGTATCGACGCGTATTCGGTCAACCATCGTGAATGATGCTGCTCGCACCTTCTCTCGTTTTTCTTTCGATCTTCGTTGTGCTTTGCGTTGGAAGACGAGACCTTATTTTCACGGATCTGTGCACACGATAATGCATGCTCCCTTCTTCAAGATTACGGTTTCCAGAAGCGAGATAGGCTCAGACGCGAACCGACAGGTGCAATATGAAAGAAAGAAAGAAGGCGAGAAGACGACGATGGGGGGAGAATTTTTCTTATAACTGCGTTCACGTGAACAGACGGATAAACTTGAAATTCTATAGGGCAAACAGGTTATTTATTTAATGTATGCTAATATTTTAATAATTTAGTTGGGCTGACAAAATATTACGATGCTACATAAAATAATAAAAAAATAAAATGTGTGTTTCTAAAAACTATGAAAATAAAAGTTGCTTTTTTGATTTTTTAAAGATTAATTAAAAATTAAAGATTCTGTGTAGCGTATGATTATTATAAAATAGATTGTAATAATCAAAGCAAAGATAATTTTTTAAAAATTTATTGTAACGAGAATCGAATGGAATAAAAGGCCAAAAAATAATTTTATTTTACGCTTGTAACTTGTAAAGTACAAATTTTCAAATTTATTCTTATAATATCACATTTATTCAGCGTTTTACTGAATACCTAATAGATCGATTTTAGGAAGAATGTAAAATATAATGTATATTATTTTAAAAGTTATACGCATGAATAAAATTGTGAGGTAAATTTAATTAAAATTATAAATGTCAACCTATTTTTAATGGTTTGCTTAATGTAATATTAACTTTATTTCTTACTTTGTCTTTTTCTCTCCCCTTTCTCTCTCTTTCTATCTCTCTATCTATCTTGGATAATACATTATTGCATAACTGTTCTTCTGATATCGATTAAAATAAACTTCCCTCGTTTGCTTTATACACCCTTTAATATTTTGCGCTTGAAGTATCTTATCAATTGAGAAAGTAAAGGTAGAGCTGCTAACTGTCGTGCTCGAAGAAGTATTCTCGACAAAACTTACAAATTGATGGATCACTTGATCTATCGTTATACTCATCGTAATTGGCAAACTCATTACGAAGGAACTTTAAAAAGCATCACTTCTGACGTGTAGACTGTTAAAACACTCATGCGTATATTTTCCGTTACATTTTCAAGAACGAACAAACGCTTATACTGATGGAATAACGTAAACGGTGAATCTATATGGAAGAAATAAAATGAAATATCAAAGCTGTGCATGCATGTAAAAAATATGTACAAACATTTTCACATTTGAACATATCCCGTGTTTGAACATATCTCGATACATCTCGATATTCGATCACGATATATCCACGCTTGATCATTATTCGGAACTCGGGTTATTCGCAAATGTACTCCAACAATTCTAACCGGTGCGGTGCGGATTATTCCGGGTCGATCGTCAACATTGTGAATATTCGCGCTCGTTTTTACGCTGGGTGAATCGTCCTAATTTTCGGCTCATTGGCTATTACTGAAATTGCGACAGCGGTTTGGCATCGAAAACCGCGCGTTACGGTCGAGGAATATTGAGTTACGCTGTAGCTTTCTATCCTATTCCCGCACAATTATTGGGATTATAAAACCGTGATTTTTTTTAAGATATTCGGTTCCTATATAATTTAATTTTGTAGAATTCCTTACAATTTAATTATCTTTAAAAGAAGTTATCTGTATATGTTAGCCTCTCTCGGTTATTTTAGGGGTTTTTATTTAATCCAATCAAATCTGATCTTCAAGAATACGTCCACATTTTCCCGAATACTCCAGATTTAGCTCACGATTATTTCGATACAAGTTTCAACAATAACTGTCTTACAGTGGCTGCAATAAAAATAAAAATAGCAACCAGAAGCAAAAAGGATCTATTCTCGGGTTCCTCAAATACATAAAACGCATTTGTAAATCTTATGAATCGAAGTACTTTCTCATGTTATAACACGAATATGCATATTGGGAAAAAATGAGAATGCACAAGAGCTTACTGATGCTGCTTTGAAATTACCTTGTGCTTTATATTGCGACGTTTTTCGAAGGAGCGAAATGGAATAAATCAAATTTGCATGAAAATACATGTTACAAAATTCAATCCCTTTTAGTTACAAAAGATTTCTTTGTGGTCAATAAACGGATATGCTATTTGTTTATAAATATAAGACAGATTTTTTAAATATTTATCATCAATGAAATTTTTAATTAAGAAAGATTGATTCTAATAAAGAAACTAAGTTCAACATGTTAAGAAAAAACACATAACCAGAGAGTTAACGTATTAAAAGTAATATTATCGTAAAGTAACAACGAAAAGAAATAAAATAATAGTGACAGAAATATTTATCAATTAAACTATTCCGTGTATAAAAGACTACATATGTTAGTATGTTGATAAGTATTTCTATCATATATGAATGTATGTGCTTAGAATTAGGCTTTCTCATGTCGATTTCTACGCTGCAAAAATTTTATCATAAATTAAATCAAGTGGCATCTGTAACTAAATATATTTTATTTTCTGTGTAAATTTTTAGAAAAATTTAGGAAATATTATTAATATATTATGTGCTTGCCTATATATAAATCTATTCTCCTGGAAATCTTAACAAGAAGATGATAAATATTCCCGAAACTATTTACTTTTTTTAAATAATTAATTTTATACGTCTGGTTTCAATGTCTTAAAATACATTTGTATTACAGTGCAGAATTTTTTGCCCGTAAATCTTTACCATCTTTACGCGATAGCTTTCTTTTCTTTTATCTCCCTTTCCGTCTGGTCTTTAAGACTTTTTCTCATTCCACTCTGCCGAATGTTCAGGTTTATAGCGACCGTGTGGTTTATAGTGGGTTGAGAAGTAACGGTACAACACGGTGATACGCGACATAACGATTCCGTAGAGTTCGTTAATGAGTCTTTCATCTAGATGTAACGAAATGTTAGCAATTAATTATAACATTTAACTTGGTAAACTTTGTGCGTTTTCTTTCCGGTCGAGGGTTGCTAGACGAGAAATGAATGGAGGTACGCGGTAGCAATGAGCGCAGATTGAATGTGTTGACGTTGGCTCTAATCGTCGAAGTGAGAAACGGGAGAAATAAAACGTCGGGAAACGTGCAGAGGGTACGTACGTGGAAAATTCGAGAGACTGAGTAATCGCGTTAATTTAAATTGCGGGTCAAGATGCGGGTTGTTTTATGCGTCTCACGTAGAGCGGCTTCTGACTTTTACTCCCGCAATTTAGAAGTGATTAGTAAATATAGGCGCCGTGTATTTTCTTAGAAAATTGAATGAAATATTGAACATACTGATGCAACATGGTTTAGGGTAATTATAGATATATTTTTAAGTTTTAATTAACCAGATAGATAAATAAGCTTTTGCTT